AGAAGCTGGTTAGTCTTCGTGACTTGGTGTTAACTGGAGGCCTTTTGCAAGAATGGGTCCCAGCTCTGATGATGTTCATCGTGTGGCATGACGTCTTCGCCCGAAACGTTGGAGCATGTCTCGTGGACGGCATCAACCTGAACGTGGTATTCAGGCTAAACGGCCGCAGGACAACGCGAATCAGCCGATGTCTTCTGATCAGATTGACCTACGAATCCTTCCATCATGTACTTCCATACGAAATGTCAGTCTTCACATCGATGTTGTCTCGGAAGATTCTTCGAAACCCGCATTTTGTTCGTTTAAGCATGCATACTTTAAGAAATAGCGTGAAAAATATACAAAGTCCAGCGAAAAGATATAGTATAATGTATTTTTGGGCTATTTCGTAACGTACGGATTCTTGCTACAATGCTGTCTGCGTAATGGCCGTACAGACTCATCGTGGAGGCAGGACGATGAGATGAGGACAATGCGCGGTAATCCTCTTTCGGTTTCTGTCGAGACCATTTCCCGAATTCCTTTCAACCAACATTTCTTTCGAACTGGAAAGTCCGTCCACATCTTGATTAATTATGACTAGCATGATTACGATTAGTATGATTATAATATTTACAATAAATTAACTTATCTCGAACAGTTTGATAGAATATTCTTGATATATTAGTTTTATCGATTAATAAGCAGAAGGTATGATAATTATAAAGTATGCTACCTTGATAGTTTTAATATAATATTCTTAAACTAGCTCTCAATTAAAGGGTCGACTCTGGAGTCAATTTATTGTGTCTGTCTTCATGTCACACTATAACACTAAGCAATTCTTGGAAACCCAGATTTTCTTCATAACTTCGAATAGTTGACTATTTGCTACGGTGATTTGCCTATGTTTTCCGACACCGGCGAATGTAATCTATCTTTGCTTATCGAAACTATTTTTCAATTCCACCATCAGTCTTAAGGTCATATCAAACAATCTGTTGTTAGGCCGTTCTTGTGCCAGATTATTCACTATTTTGAGTTTTGCTCAAGTGGGGTCGACATTGTTGCCATAATTGCAGACAGTTTCAGATTTTACCGAAAAAATGAGTTTGATGCGTAACTTCGTCCCTGTTTCCTTTACCTCAAAAGCCAATTGCCAAATCGTCTTAAGAGTATTTGTGGCCTCAAATTGCTCATAGAGCCAGCTCTAAAGGGTCGGCTGAATGCTTTGCTAAGTATTTTGTGATCAAGGAATTCAGATATTCTGAGCTCTGGTTGAATTAAACATTTTAAAAGGATATTATTATTTTTCTTTATTCGCTTTATATTTTTATTCGTTTATTGCGCCGTTTATATGAAATACGAGGAGCATTCTTTTAGTGTCATAAACTGGGAAATTAAGTTTATTCAACGAGGAAACTCTTCTTCGCCTTTCCGACAGACCTTGTCCTCGAGACGAATGGAAACAGATCGGATTGATGCGTTCGCAACCATTCTCAGTCTCCACGCAGTGCTTCCCAGTTCCCACTTTCAGTCTTGCCAAGTCATCCCGGCAGCGCAGCCAGTTCAACCGGACCAACTCCAGCCAAGTAGTCAACAAGTGTCCGTTTGCAACCCACCTCCAAACCGGTGGATGCGACTGTGCAGAACCCAATTCGCGGCAGGCAAGAGCATGCGCCCGTTGGACAATCGAGTCAAGAGTCTACTTGAAGAGCATCTCCAATGCTCATCTGGGCGTGGGCTCAGACAACGTTCCGAGACGTGTAGACATGTTGGTAGAATAGACAGTTTGTGGTACCCTCTTCAAAGTCGTCCCGGTGGTAGGATTAAGTTGAGCAAACGAAGTAATTTCAAGTGACCCAGCGAAAAGAGCTTGCGATTAACGCAAACACCCCATCCTCGGGTTCTTCACAGCCTCAAAGTCTCGCTTTTTCGAGCGGAACTTTTGCCCTCATGGAAGTCATTCTTTCGATTTAAGAACGGCATTCATCATTTTTCATTGAAAGTGATGAATTTTCCCACAATCTGATGAGTAGACCTTAACTTTCCATCAACTTTCACAAATTCCTGCTTTTATAAAGCCATCCTAATCCAGACTAAGGTGGACTGGACTGCAAGTTCGAT